GTTGCACATCCTGGTCCACCATCCAAGGAATGGACTCAGCAACGAGATCAACACCTTTCTGATGGTCAAGCCTGCCAATGAACCCAATCAGAGGAACATTCTCCCGAAGAGGAAGACCAAGCTCCCTTTGTAGAGCTGCTTTGCATTGAGGCTTGCCAGTCTGAAGAGTCTCCGCAGGGTAATTGGTGCAGCCATCCGATGCCAGGTAAACATCTAACTGTGGGTTCCCTTCGTTTGCATCAATCACATTCACGATGCCCTTCAGCTTCCMATCAAACTCATTTATTATTTGATGCAGACCCCAACCACCTTCTTTAGTTTCCAACTCCCAGGCGTAACCATGGCTTACAGTGACTACACGATCTGCTGCTCTCAGGCCAGCTGCAAGGACATTGAAGTGTTCCCTACCTCCTGGGTCATATAGTTTGAAGTAGTTTTGTGGAAGATCCACATAACAGAAATCGCGTACTGGACCACGACCCCGGTGTGCTATGTTGTGAATCACAGGAACACACTAGGTATACGTACAGAAGAGAACCTTAAGAGCATCCTTACAGAAGCGAACCATGCGTTTTAAAATATCCCCTCGGCCTCCCCCATATATATTTTTCTCAATGTTGCGAAACATAGGGCTGTCCATGAACACAAAATCTATGCCATCAATATAAGCTTGAAAGAAAGTTACCTCCATATCCTGCCCATCCACCTTATATCTTTTGTGCACTCCTGTTTCTTGGGCTTTGCATAGTTATCATACCGTGGTGCCACAATCATAACTATATGTTCACGCCGAGCCAAAGCCTTAGGTAAAGCCCCCAACAACATCGCCAAGTCCACCTGTCTTCGACAAAGGAGCGCATTCTGTAGGTACCAATATAATGTTCGTGACATTGTCCCCGGCCAAAGGAGGAGGCTTTACAGTCTCATCCTCCGTGCGCTGATCCTCGGTAATAACTGCGGTTGTAGGGGCAGCAATCTGCTGTTCGCTGGATGCCTCTGCCCAGTCCGGACGACGACTGTTTGTGTTGGCTATTCCCTCAGAACTCCTTTCTTTGTTGGAGAGGAATGCTTCTAGGCGGGGTCACAGCTCCCGGACATCTTCCTTGACTTCACGAACCTCCATGTTGGTTTCTGCTAGCCTATGTTCCAGCTCGTTGACCTTGGATGATAGCTGCTCCATATCGCCCGTGACGTTTGGCTCTGATACCAAATGTTATGGTCCCGCGTGTAGGATCTCGTCACGGTCGGTCCACGGTGAGAAAGCCCTGCTTTCCCTTGCGCCTTCCCTTGCGTGCAGACCCTATTACGGAAAACCGAATGGGTGATTTGTCTAAGAGACCACCCTAACTCTCCGAATGGGTGATTTGTCCAAGAGACCACCCGAACTCTCCTCACTCTTTTC